TTCTTCATAGCATAGAAGCAAACATAAAATGAATTGAAGACAAGCTTGCCTTCACCTTGATCTCCTACCTTCGCAACACAAGTTGTACCTGGATTTGTTTGTAACAGAATATCTCTATAATCATAGAGTCTCTTGAACTCAGCATGCACATCACCTATTATCTCCTTTAGAATTTTTGCTCTAGCTCTATGTACAGTAGACCTACCAACATACATGTCCAGTTCATCCTTAATGAGTTTCTTTAGCTCCCAAACTTTCATATTTGGTTGACACACAATCTTATCCCTGTAATGCTTTGCTAGGTATCTGGAGTTGCAAAGCTTGATTTTATTTGTTTTGTAACACTTGTGGACAGGACAATACCTTTTTACCTTAAAATTGTTGGATCTACCATCTTTGCTTGCAGCCAAGATCCATGGACATTTTGGATGCATGCATCTTACCCTCACCCTGCTAGGTTCATTAATATACTTTTCAATTTGAACTCCTTTCTAAATTGCATACTTACTAACAGCAAACCTAAATTGTTCAACACTCTAAAAAATCAGCCCCAACTCCCAGGTTATTTTCTTGACAGTTGGATCAAATATCAGGGCTTTCTTCCTCCTCTTGGCAGCCATTTTCTCCTTATGTTCTTCATCAAATTCATCTTCAGCATCTGAAGGAAAACTTTCAGCATCTGAAGACCCAAAGTAAGGCTCATCTGTCCCTACTAAGCCTGTGTACCTATCTTGCTTGCTACCAGTTCTTAATTCATCAAAACCAATATCAACTCCTGCATCACCTAGGTTAATATCACCTCTATCTTTTGGCCTTTCACTCCTTTTCCTCCTATACTTCCTCAGTTCATCCCTACACTCTACAAATTCTTCATGAACATCAGATCCATAATCCTTATCATCAGGAACATGTAAATCTACTCCATCACTCTCATCACTATCACTATTGTCAAAATCTAAATCATTCTCATTGTCATCCTCACCTTCACTATTATCAAAGTCTGATTCACTATCCACTCCACTCTCTTGTTCTCTTGAAGGTGAAGGGGCAGGAGCAGGAGCAGGTTCAGGAGAAGGAGAAGGGGAAGGGGTAGGTTCATGAGCAGGTGCAGATTCAGATTCACTATCTTCCTCTTCTTCTAAGACAGTTGTGCTCTTAAAAGCTCCACTATTAGACCCACCAACCCCTTTACTAGCCTCATTTATGTCAACAACACATAAAGGGGCAGCATGAGTCACATAAATATCTAAGGTATCCCCATCTTCCAATTCATTACAAATGTCTAAAATATCCTTGTCTGTTAGAATATTTACCAATTTATCTGTCCTATCCATTGGACAGATATACAACTCAGCCACATTTTGAAAGTCATAGATCCTAGTGTAGTTCATTAGTTCAATAAGAGACAGTAAATCCACATCTACAAATGTTTGACTACCACCCACATAACGAGCAAAGTTACCAGGAACTAATACCCCATCATGGTACCACCTGAGGGTAATGATTTTAAAAGACATTATCTGCAAACAAATAAGGGACAAATAAATGAACTTTCCACATGCAATAATTGAAAATAAAGAACTACAGATGAAATATAAAAGTGGAGACAAAGACAAGAGCATATCACATTGTTCAAAGCAATGGTATTACAATAATCAGTTAAACCCTAACTTTACACACGGTTTGCAAACACAAGACAAATCTCTTTTATAAAAAAACTATCTGTAAAGGCAACAAGACGACAACTTCACAGTGATATCGATAATGACAAAAGATTCCCCTTTTAAAAAATCCAATAACCCTAAGCAAAATAGAAGAAATTTCAAAAAAACCCTAGATTAAACCCACCCACTACTAAAATAAACGGGTAATGCAAGGAGAAGAAAATTACTAACCGATTAACCGTATAAATCCACCGGAAATCCACGATGAAAGCGTAACTTGAGATGGTCGCCGGAATCGCCTTTACAGTAGCTCCTTCTAGATGTATCGGATTTTGAGTACTGACTTGGGTAAGTTTGGTTTTAACGCTTTTACCTTGTGGGTCGGGTAGGGTCAGTTAGGGTCGGGTAGGGTCGGGTTAGTTATTATAAGGTAATGGGTTAAAATTATGTAAAGTCAAACGCGTGACATACACGGATGTCTTATTAACAGGATCTGGTCAAAGGAGGTGGGTACTAGATACACTTTAGAAAGGTTTCTTATGTAAGGTTATTATCGTCCACAGAAAGTGTGTAAGGGGGATTTGGTCCAAAGGTTGGGTGGTAAACTATGTATTAAGCCATATAAAATAATAAAATTAAGCAATAAAAGTATCATAAAACCGTTTGTGATGCAATTAGTAATTATTTGGATTATAAAATGCTAGAACAAATTAGTTAAAATCCTTTTAAAATTACAGAAAATTATGGAAAAATGCTGGTTGATGCTCATGCACTATTTTGAAAGTATATATGCATTTTAAAAATATATGAGGGAAAAGTTGGGTATCGACATCTGTCCCTCTTTATTCGGGAAGGATGAAAGAGTTTTCGGGTAAAGAAATGATGACCGATTTTAACCGAATGGGATGTTCTAAAAAATAGAGGCCGAACTTTAGTCTTTGAGCTACCTAAATATCCCTGATTTTACAGGAATCAGGCTATGCGTAGTTTTGAATCCAACGGTGAATGAGGCTGTTGGATTTGTTATATAAATGATAGCAATTTTTAGAAAAGGTTCTTTTGTGAAGGGTAGTATCAGATGGGTTATGCAGAGTTATGATTATGAGTCTGAAGTATAACGGGTGTATCACAGGGTAGGTATCTGAACGGTCGTAGGGTAAAGGCGAGTAATTGATGAGAGTCGATTATGTTTGAAATAATGGTAAGGCATAAATGGAAATCAGAAGGGTATGAGCTAAAACCGGAGCGACGATTGCTCCTATTTGAAGAACAGTAACTTCCTGGATTACCTGCAAAACTTAAAATACAATGCATGCAGGTATATAGAGTATTTCGAGAATTTAAACATGATGCAAGTTCCCTTTGGACTATGAAAGATTGCCTTTGGACAGTGAAGATGACGTCCTTAGACCATGATGACCGGGGCCATGAATCATAAGATAAGAGATTCGCAGGCCATGAAATGATGTTCTCGGGCCATGAAAATGGTGCCTCTGAACCATGACGCCTTTGAATAATGATGCGCAGTATTGAGAGATCCTCAGGTCATGACATGGTGTCTTCAGGCTATGAGGATGATGCCTTCGGACTATGACGCCTTTGGACAAGTTGGCTATACATCAGCCCATGGAATGCAGAGACATGATACCAAAGGTAATAACAAGGCAACACTTAGCCTCGTGCAGAGTTTTGGGGCCAGAGCTTAGCCCCGAGAGAAGAAGATAATGCAAATTGAAAGTAGAGCAACACTTATGTCGAGGGAGACAATTCTTACTCTTATGCAAAGAGAAGGCAATGCTTAGCCTTATGCAAATGTGGAGGCAGAGCTTAGCCTCATGCAAGGTTTGAGACAAGGCTTAGTCTCATGCAAAGAGAAGGCAATGCTTAGCCTTATGCAAATGTGGAGGTAGGTCTTAGCCTCATCCAAGATTTAAGACAAGGCTTAGTCTCATGCAAAGAGAAGGCACTGCTTAGCCTTATGCAAATGTGGAGGCAAGGCTTAGCCTCATCCAAGATTTGAGACAAGGCTTAGTCTCATGCAAAGAGAAGGAAATGCTTAGCCTTATGCAGTGAAAAAGTAGCAAATATGAGTAGAATATTTCTTAGCTGGAGGTATATTTGCATCTCGTGGCCTAATTGTTGTGAGGATAGTGACTTTGATATGTGTATATTTGTTAATACTCCTGTTATATTCCCTGTGCCTGCATCTAAAGAAAAATCGTGAGTTTTGTAGGGGGAGGTTGGTTCGTGCCCTTGCCTACTTGTTTTGCTTTGCTTTGCCTTGGAGACCCTGCTCGAGTTACCCCGGGTAACACCTGGTTATCACAAAAATAAGATTTTCGAAAAATATGTACTTATTGATGAAAGGGAGTTATTTTAGAAAACATGGTGGTATATGATATCAAGTAAATTAGATGACCTAATGAGTGTGACACTTTTATAGACATTGCGACTTCCATGCATTAGAATTTTGAGGGTCCTCCTCAAAATTCTACCTTAGNGAAAGATTATTACTTGAAGGAATTATAGGCGAAAAATTTATATTTCAGCCATTCTGTGTGCAACAAAGTTTGTTGGATCTGCTCCAGAATTTTGAGAATCCTTCTTAAAATTTTGCCCCAGTTACTTAATCGATTTCTGACTGTCTGGCATATGATGGCATCGGCTGGACCTGCTCCGGAATTTTGAGGGTCCTCCTCAAAATTCTGCCCCAGTTTCTGGTTTTGGGGGGAAATAAAATTTTTATTAAGATATGACCGAACCCACAGGGCTGCCTATGTATCCCCTCTTCAACAGGAATCAGGTCAAGCATTTTCAGTTACATCAGGTGAATGAATGTAAACAATCTTAAATGTAGCATCTCTTAACCGCATCTAAATTGATAGGTTTTAGCCAAACTTCTCCATCCATTTCTACAAGTATGAGTGCTCCTCCTGTTAGTACCCAGTGAACCATGTATGAAACTTGCCAGTTGGATGAAAATTTCCCTTTGGCTTCATCCTGATGCGGGAAGATCCGCTTCAGCAATAGCTGCCCCGATGCAAATTGTCTTGGTCTGACCCTTTGGTTGAAAGCTCTCGACATTCTATTTTGATAAAGCTGACCGTGACATACTGCATTCATTCATTTTCCATATATGAGGGCTAGTTGCTCGTAGAGGCTCCTTATTTATTCTGCATCACTGAGTTCAGCTTCCAGTATGATCC